TTTTTTTTTCAAAAATAAAAAAACAAAAAGATTTGTCTTTGTTTTTCTGAAATTTCACTGTGATATCTCTAGGCATGGATATCTATTTAATTTATCCTGTTAGGTTTATTTAGGTATTTTGAATTTGTTCACTGATGTTTTCATCAATTCTGGAAATTTTCCAACCATTGTTTCTTCAAATATTGCTTCTTATCCAATCTTTCTCATCTCTCCTGGGGTTTTGGTTAAATATATGTTAAACTTTTTTACTTTAACCATGTTACTAACCATGTCCTCTGTATTTTTCATCTTATTAAATTTCTGAACCACAAATTGGATAAATTATATTCTAACATCTTCCACTTCACTAATTATTTAGTTGTATCTGATTTTCTATTAAGCCTTTTATTCAGTTTGAAATTTTTTTTTGACCGGTAAGGGGATCTCAACCCTTGGCACGATGAGGTCTGCAACATGCTCAGCCAGTGAGCGCACCCGCTATCCTTACATAGGATCCGAACCCGCAGCCTCGGGGGCGCTACCAGCGCCGCACTCTCCCGAGTGAGCTATGGGGCCGGCCCCAGTTTTAAATTTTGATTAGTATGTTTTTATTTCTAGGTGTTCTATTTTGCTTTGTTCTAATCTGTCATATTTGATAGTTTCTTGTTCCCTGTATGCCTTCAAGTTTAACTTTTATTTCAAATAAAGTGGTTAGCATATTACACACTGTCTGATAATTACTATATTTGAAGTGCTTGCAATTTTATTTCTATGTTCTGTTTTGTAATTTTTTTTCTGCTGGCTCTCACTCATGGTGTCTTGTTCCTTTGTGATGCAGTTAACTTTGGCTGCGTTCAGGTTAAGAACATAAAAAATAAATTATATAAATAATTTTCTATGCTTAAGGTGAATAAGCCTTCTTTCACAGAAAATTTGCATTTGATTGTATCAGAATCTGGGAGCACTACCTGTCAATAATCACCTTAAATCAAGTTCAAGGCTGAAATTCCACACAAGGGCTCATCTACTTCCAGTTTTACTCATTCATTTCCAGTTTATACCCAGATGGTGTAGCTTTTAGGAATTCATACTTATTAATGGGAGGGTCTTCTGTAAACTCACGTTGTTAGGCTTTGATTTCCCCTCATTATATAAATCAGGATTCCAAATGTTCCCAAGGAAAAAGTAAATTTTGTACTCATTTATATCTCCAGGTTTTCTTTTAACATTGACTTTTGGATTTTTCCCTCTCTTCGGGCACCATGCTCTCCCAAATGAGTCACCAGCCAACCCTCTTTTAACATTAACTTTGAGGGCTGGCCCGGTGGCGCACTGGATAGTGCGCCGCTTGGGAAGCGCGGCGGCGC